GGTTCTTTGCTATCGAAACCAGATGAATTTTCGTGGACCCCCACTTACAACTCGTGGACCCCCATATTTTTTTTAACGCCAACGTAGACCCCCGTCGAGGACCCCTGGGCCACTTTGAGAATCACTGTTTTAGACGATCTGTTGAAATTGCCTTTGCCCAACGATTACGTTACTCAAGCATTCGCAGACGATGTCCTTCTTATTGTAAGTGCTAAATCTGTAGAAGAGCTTGAAAGAAACACTAATACTTCATTGCAGCTAATACATCCAAGCTCGGATTAACAGCAGGGCCGACGGGGCCGCGGCCTGGGGCCCCCACATTTGGAGGGCCCCCACAAGATGAAATGAATATGTATATAAAAATATAAAAAATGTAAAAAAAAATTGAAATGATAAAAAAATAGAAAATAATGGTTTAAAGAATTTCTCTGAAATGTAGATATTTTAATAAAATAATAGAAGGTGAACACTCTGCGATGTAATCGCAACTTGTGAAGCACTTATCCAATTCTATAATTTTTTTAAACTTGAAGTTTATTGTGCGAAGCTTAGGCTACGCAATCGGAGCCCTTTTGAAACCTTCTATTTGTATAACAACAACAACAACAACATTTTTAGAACACATAATATATATTTATACACTTTCTTATGCAATACGAACTCGTACACTTTTCTTTGTTCAAACAATTGATCTTTTTCCATCTCATACCTAATAATAATTGATCCTAATTCATTTTATTTTGCAATCAACTTAGTTTATATTCCGAATCTTCCTATGTAATGTACTACTCATATAATGTTTATATTTCGCTCAGATTTAATGAAATTGACTTCTTGCCCACAATCACATTAAAAATAGATGAAATGTTATCAGTTAAAGTCTTATATATATGATATATTTCACAAGTGCACTATAATATTTTCAAAATTTGGGGAATAAATTCTATAACCTTTTTCATATACCTGAAACAATTTTCATATCTTGTTTCACTACAGATTTCGCGAAACTCCATTAAATCTAAAATTGCACGAGTGAAAGATCTTTCTTCAAGATGAAATTAATCAAAAGTCGACTTCGAACATGTATGGGTGAAAACCGACTTGTGCATTTGGTTCTCTTGAGCTCCGAAAGAGATATACTGCGCGAACTAAGTTTCGATGATATCATTGCTGTATTTGCAGCAAAAAAATCACGGAAAGAGTAGTTTCAGTAAAGGAGTATCCTTTTTTAGTGTAATATACTGTGAACATGTATTAAATTTGAAGTACTTATTCCCTTGTTACTTTATTCAATGCGTCATCTTATTCTCTAACCTTATAATTATCTACTGCAAACTATACTTTTTTTTCTGAAAGAATAGTTTGAGATTGAGACTTTATAACCCCACATTCTTAATCCGGCCCTGAATACATCAATGGGGAATCGACGTTAAAATAGCTTTTGGTGAAGCAAAAACAAAAGTTATGGCTTTTACGAGAAAGCAAAACTAGCAGAAACTACGATTAATGGCGCTAATTTGAGTTTTGTTGAGGAGATGAAAGTTGGCGTCATCATCGATAATCACCTCAGGTTCAGCAAACATGCACGATACGTCATCGACAAAGTTCAGGGTACATTTAAAGATCGCTGCATATTTGTGCGACCTACATGGGGCATACATTCTGAAAATGTTGCTATACTTTATAGGCAGGTCGTTTAGCCAACTGTCATATAAACTGCTGCAATTTGGGGAAGAGCTACAAAGTATTACAATGTCTGTCGGATGCTAAGGGCATTTAAAAGAAGCTTTACAGTCTAAGCAATCAGGGCATTCCACATCATCTCGATTACTTCAGCACTAGCCCTGGCAAACTTTGTTCCATTACATCTCAAAGTAGAAGAAACTTTGAGAATAGATAAAATCAAGATGTCCGAAACCTTCAAAATACCTTCAGAGGATATTTCCATCCAGCAGCTGCATCCTGCCTCTCGCCAAACAATCAAGTATGGCACTGTGAAAACTCAGGATGAAACAAGTAACGTTCTCGACCATAATGCCATACAAATATATGCAGATAGCAGCAAACAGGAAGCTGGGGAGTGCGGTGCTGCATTTGTCATACATCACCGTGATGGACGATGGGAGGACGAAAGTTCAAGCTACATCGTTTTTGTACAGTATTTCAAGCGGAAGTTTTCGAAACAGACTGCGCTTTAGCATGGACCCAAACAAATCCTGACGAATTAAAGCTACAAATCTTTTGCGACAGTCAATCTTGCCTCGAAGAAATAAAAGATCGTAGCAATACCATGCCCCCATAGCATCTATCCACGAACGTCCATTTCAACTTCGACTGACACACTCCATACATTTTTACTAGATTTAAGCGCACGTTGCAATAGAAGGCAATGAAATAGCTGACAGCTACTTCAAAAAAGCGGCAGCCTCGCCAGATGATATGGCATTCACTCAATGCGCTATTTGTTCCGTTAAAAGTCAAATACATTTAGAAACGGCAGCAGCTTGGCAACAAGAATATTTTAATGCGTCAAATGGATCAACAACTACGACTTTCCTCCAATCTTCGGAGGATGCTAAAGTTTAGACGCAACTTTTCGGAGTTTCTTTTGCAATGACGTAATTTCTTACTGGCGACAGCAACAGACGCTCAGTAATTTGGTTCAGGAATGCCCCGGATACGCTAGAGCCCGTTTAAGCCATACTATGCTTTGTGACGAGCATCAAACGCCAGCCTATAATTTACAAGAAATTGCTAAACAACAAAACTTTATCGTCTCATTTAAAACATTTGTAACACTTATTATAAGTACGCTCAAAGAATTAAATGAATAATACTGTTTCTCACTTTTGTTTGTATTACATGTAACCAATAGAAAATATTTACATTTTTTTAGCCTTTATCCATTCGCAGGCAGTGTTATTTTAAAGGTTTGAACTTAACTTGTTAAAATATTTTAGTAAGTAGCGCAACATTGTTATATGAATTGAGAAAATAATACATATCTCAAAGCGCAGTTAGCGTGGAGAGACCACAGGAAAAAAACAGAGGTTAAGTATATGGGGCTTACCCAGGACTCCAAGCAGCTGTGGAGGACACATGTTGATGCGGCTACGACAGCGATGATGGTGTGTAAATGTCTTGCGGGAAAATCTTGGGGTGCTCTCCGAGGATCCTCAGATGGAGGGATTCGGCAAAGGCAAGCTAATTATTATCTAGGAACAGCGACAAGATAGGCACCCAGCTCCCCCTAGCTTTGTTCCCCAGGGGCGGCATTAACAGGGAGGCGGTCTTAAAAGAAACTTCAAGACCCACACCTACAACAAGGCGACCTGGTGTACCTGCATTATGAAGAGTCAAATACAGACGCCCACACTACAGTGGTACACTGATGGCTCTAAAGCACCGGAAGGAATTGGAGGTGGCGTGTACGGCCCTAGGCTGAAGCTTTCGGTGCCCCTGGGAACCATCCCTAGCATCTTTCAAGCGGAGGTCTACGCCATTAGTATGTTTGCTGAGATTAACATTCGCAGAAATTATAGGAACGAAAGGGTACTCATACTAAGCGATAGTCAGGCGGCACTTATGGCTCCCTCATCATTCGAGATCTAATCCTCCTTGATTTTGGAGTGTGTAGAGAGGCTTAATGCTCTGGGGGGTCGCAGGTAATGAGGAAGCTGATCATCTGGCCAAAATGGCCGCTGCCTCGACCCCGATAGGACCTGAGCCCTTCTTTGCAGTGGGACACAACACCGTAAACTTTACGGCGTAAAGGAAATGCTCATAAAGAAAATACCAAACTAAGAGAACTGCACTGGCATAACACTATGGATCTACGTAACACTATGGGTCTACGTAAGGAGAAACTAAGAATAATGAGAAGGTTTTTGACGAGCCATTGCAGGCTTAGAGTGCACCTATATAAACTGGTAATTTGGTCCAGTGACCTGTGTTGCTTCTGCGATGCGGCCAAGGAGACTATTTTACACCTTCTTATGGAGTGTGAGGCCGTTTCACGCAGGAGAAATAGGAGTATAGGGTACCTGTGGCCAAGAGAGGGGCACATACACTCACTTTCCCCGGTATTTATTATGAATTTTTTAGAGTCTCTGGGGCTGGTCGACGTGTTGTGATGAGCTAAGGGCATAATAGGCCTACCCGTCGCAGTACTATACCTAACTAACTATCTATCTATCAAGCCCGGTTCAAGATCACAAAATAAAAGAGCACAAATGGTTTTTTTCTAATAGTGATCACCCCCTCGGCAGTCAATGGCAAATCTCCGAGCGTATTTCTGCCACGAAAAACAGCTTCTCATAAAAATATAATCGGCATTCGGAGGCGGCGTAAAACTGTAGGTCCCTCCCCTTTGTGTGACAACATCAAGGCGCACGCCACAAATCGGAGGAGAAGCTCGGCCAAACACTAATTATTATTATTATTATTAACAACGAAATTGCAAACACTTATCTGATTTCCTTAGTCTCTTTAAGGATTTCTTTTAACTAATACTGTTAGTTTTTTTGAACAAAAAGTTAATTTTATATTAATTAATTTTTGAATTTTCATGCAAATTGCTAAAAACTTTAAAATATGCATGTCATTAATAAAAATAAATTTCGACGCGCAAGAAAGACATACAACATACAACATACAAGATATGATATATAAAAATTAACACAATTATTGGAAGGGAAAAAAAATTTTAATTTCGGAGGTCTGTGTTATTATGATATTTCCGTGGATTTTGTTTTGATGATGAAATTTTAAAGTATTACCAATTAAGACCAGAACAAAACCTTTACTATAACAAAAGCACTTTTGGTTAATATGACAGCTTAACTCGGGCAAGTGACTGCCGACCAAATCATATCCCGGGGGGAAGATTTGTATATAGTACTTTAAAGGGCGCCTAGAGAATAAAGGGATCATCACTATTCTAAGGAGTCCTATATTACTTTAGAACCAGATATACTTATTTGGTCGAATAATGTTTTTACTTGTGTCTTTGTGATATGTCCCACGTTGCGGCAATAATACTATTTACACACAAATCCACCGGCACCATATTAGCCACAGCTCTTGGATCACATCGTAATGTACGAATGACTCCCGTGCCAGCACCGGCAATGGCTCCCGTTGGGCCATAAAAGTTATCAATCCAACCGCAAACAGGATCTCGGTAAGTAGATATAACTGTTAAATAAAAAAAACCGGTTTGAAATGCTAGGATTAAAAAACAAAATCTATTAACAGATTTACCGATGCCAGGTCGAAACATGCCTACTGGCAAATTTTTACCATAGGTTTTAATTATGTCCTCTGCAACAGCTTTTGTGAAGGTGTAAGTGTTTGGCCATTTGCCTAATAGTCTGGAAGATGCATAGAAAACACGCGATTTTATTTGAAGATCTGCGAAATATGAACGAACTTACAGAGGCGTCATTGATTCCAACAGGTTCTCCGGTGTGCACTCTGTAAGTAGTATTAGGTTTTCGGAATTACTAGGCGGAGGATAAAACTTTTCATCAATTTGTCGTAGTGGGCATTGAGTATATGCTGTGGACACATGCAGTATACTTTTCAATTGCTTCATTTCACTGCAAAGTAACATGATATCCCGTGCTGCTTTCACATTTATTTGCATAGCCACTTTTAGTTTCTCGTCAAATCGAACTGTTGCTGCCATGTGAAAAACGATGTTAACACGCTGGATCAAAAGCTTTCGGTCTTCTTGACTCAGACCCAAACCTGGTAACATACAGTCGCCGGCTATGCCTTGAAACTGATGACGAAATTTTGGTGCCACTTTTTTCATAGCATTGAATATCTGTTAAGTAAATTATATTGAGTATTACTGAGTTTAATCATTACTGCCTAATAAAGCGTTCTCATTGAGGCATTAACTCGAGTTTATGGGCCATTTTGGAATTTTGGAATTTTGGAATACCAAAAATTTCGTTAAACTCGTTAAACTCTCTTTAAACACTACTTTTATTTGGAGTTTATGCGAATGCAACCTTTTTCACCCGATTTGGTTTGTATCTTTGATAATCCAAACCTGCAACCAACTTGCCGACAGTTAGTCTGTTCCCGTACTGCAGGATTTAATCTGAATTAGTCCGAGGTCGTTGTGTACACATATGTAAGTCTAAAATATCAACAATCTAGCGATGCAAAAAAGTGTGGCTCGATAGAAACTTTTGTGCTGATTTCAAAAAAAAATTTTCAAAAATTATCTGGCGAAAGTAAAGTATAAAGAAGATATCAATGGTTAAAGTTAAATTTTCTGATTTTTTTAAATAGTAATATCTTCTGAACATAACCTATTAAAAAACTAATGGCGTCAAAATAACGGTAATTAATTTGTCTTTCACGTATGTATATAACTTATATGATTGTTTTATAATTTTAGTCCGGAAATACTAAAAAACAAAATAAAATAAAAATATATTTCTTTAAATGGCGTTTATATAAAATTAGTTGCAATACGTCGCATAAAAGGCATTTAAGTTATGTTGAAATTAGCATCAACAATTTTTTAATCGGTTTAGTAGTCTCCGAGATATTAAACACATAAGAAATATATAAGTTGAACTTTAACCTCTTTTGTTGGCTTTGGTTTTTATATGAACCAAATAATTTTGATATAGTTGAAATTAGCGTAAAAAGTTCTATCGATCGTCATTTCGTGTTTTTTTATAGCTAAACGGTTGCTATTCTAGGCTAATGTGTGTGTGTGTTAAATCCTGTAATACGGGAACAGACTAAATGAGAATAAGAAAAAATAAACAAAAAAAAAATGTCAAATTAATATCCGAGTTTCTTAAACACCGCAATGTGAACGCTTGACAGTAGTTCATAAACTCGAAACGTTAAACTCGAGTTAAAGGCTCAATGAGAACGTAATATAACGCTTAGTATCCAGCTCTTAAGAAAAGCACTCTATATAAAAAACTGAAGAATGACGAAGAAATATTATTGTGTCAAATTTACTTAAGGCAGTACTCAGCTCTCAAAGAAAAGTATATATTCCCATTTTTCTAATTTTTTTCTAAGTAAAATATGAATATGGCAACGCAAACTCTGCGAAGAAATAAATATGACCGTATAAATTTCTTGAAGAAATAATATACAACATAATGTAATAGCAAATAATATAAGAAATAAAACGTGAAAACTACTTATCCGCCTTGATTCACATATGCCTAGTTTTTCTTGAACTTTTTCCTCTAAGCTGGATACTAAGATTTACCTTAAAGCGGTGATGCAGAAGTAACGATAAACAGGTATTTATATGCTTATATATATAGAGTGCTAAAATCATATATACATATGTATGTATTCTAGCCTGGCCATTTTTGTAACATCACTTAATGTCAATGAGTGCCGGGTTGAAACGGCTTCTATTTTACCTAAAACGCCAACTGGAAAATTTATCACCGATCCGGGAATTTTTGATGGACCCAAAAGTTGGTTAAAGTTGAACTTACTTATTTTTCTCATACAAGGTGCATAAAATACGCAAATACTATTATGCCGATTTTTAATGTGATGGAAATTTTTTGCGATATGAGTCAACAACTTGCAATATAAACTGAGGTTCTTCTTCATCGCATGTTAAAATACGGTTATAACCAGGGTTGCCACTGAACAAAAAAATATACTTACCATCCACTCGAAAAAAATCGACTAAATCTGGAAAATATCTACCAATAACTATTTTAGTTACCTATTTTTAAATTGTTTTTTAAGGAAATTTTTATTTGACTAAATGATGTGGTATTTGAGATCATATTAATAGAATCTGCTCGGTTTTCTTCAACCAAAAACGAAAGTGATGAAATTAAAAGCAACAACGAAACTTCATAATTTAAAAAACTTCAACTGGAGTTATTATAGACAAATACAGTGCCTCAAAAAAAATTCCCTATGTACTTTTTAATGATTTATTTTGGACCAAATTTCCGTCATCCCTTGTCAAGCTTGGTTTGCAGACAAACCGGTTTCGGCGTTGTGCCATCTTCAGTGTCATTTTTCGTTCTGTCTGGTTCGAGTTTTTGTCCTTGATTTATATTCTTTTATGTTAGGTAGTGTGATTTTCGTCGATGATTAATTTCTAGAAATGCCATGGTGTCCTTTTTTTAGAAGCAGGTTCATCTTCGCTGTCTCGATATTAACATCCGCTATATTGTCGCTGTATGGTTTTGCCTGCAGGTAGGTAATATTCAAATTCAAAAACATTTTGTCTAAATTTCGAACTTTTTACTCTGAATTTTTAAAACAATTTTGGGTATGCTGTTTTATACCGAACAATCATATCGTGTAATTACATACCTGTCCATTTTTACTTTTTATTTAAAGAATCATTCAAAATGTTTAAAATCAAAAGCACCTCAGGATTCCAGAAAAACAAGTTTTGAAAGGAGCACGAGATGCTCGCCTTTTATCGAAAGCGTTCGAACATTAATGCAATAAAGTAGACTACACTTTTGGAAAGTAATTTATAATATAAAGATGACTACCAAAAATTAAGCAGGAACTAAAATTGTATTTCTTTTTCAAACATCTACCAAAATGAGAAAAAATTTACCTTTTTACCAACCCAAATTTTTTCTACCAATTTCGGTAATAATTTACCAAATCGCAACACTGGTTATAACCTTCCATAAACTTGACGCCACGCTCCGCAGTGTCGTTTACGACGAGTACATTTTGAAGGAATTCCAAAGCTGTCTGTTATTCCTCATTGCCTTTCCTTACGGCTGGCTCGAGCTGAAGAAAGTCACATTGAATCTCGAAATTGGAAAACAAAAACTTGTTTTATAAGACACAAAATCAGATAAATCATATTTTAACAAATGTTGCACATTTGCAAACGTGCGGTATTTGACAAAAGCTACAACAGGATCCTTTTCTTTTAAACGATTCGCCATTTTTCGTTTAATTTCGAGTGAAACGCTGGAAGCGAAAAATGATAGCCCCACCGTTTCTAGGGTTAGATACCACAAGTGATTCTTTATCAAATACCGCTTAAGACACAATTTTATCGATTTCGGAATACTTGGAAACAGCACGTAAAAAATTCAAATCTTGATTGGGACACTAAGTAGAATTAGTGCCCCTATACCATACCTTGATATAAAGCTTAACGACAAAAATTTACATATCCCGAATACATCTAAACTCTCTCGAAGTCATATTAAACTGGGCACGAAATGTAAACATTTTTACACAATATATTGCTTTCGACATAAAGCCTGCATGAGATGTCGCACCACATGTTCGAAGGACACCGCCGTCGTCATCAAGGAACGTCATAGAAAGTTCCAAGAGGTCCTTATAATCCCCGCGTATTTGAGTGTGTTTTAGCTGTACTTGTAGTGTGGGTTCTTCACCAGTATATTCATCGACAAAATCATCAGTATATATTTCCATGGACTCAAATTCAATTTTGGTTTAATTTTCGAAGAAGATTTTAGTGAGGAAAAGATTTGATTTCGATAAAAATATATATAATTATAATACACAAGAGTAATTAATATATTATTTACAAATTTTTCCAATTTTGGCGTTTCAACATGTTTTGATATACCTGCTTCTTCCCTTTCTATTCTCAATTTCTCAATAATGCTAAACATTGAACTCTCTGCCGCTGCTTTTCCAAGAACACTTTGCCCTCTTCCTTCCTCATCTTTCTCAATGCATCGCAAGCCGCAAAGTCAAAAATATCGTCCAAAGCGCTTATGAAAACATCAAATTTTTTCTTCATTGCGGCTGCTATCTTTCCCGCCTTAACTTTGTTGAAAGTTTTCCAATCTTCGTACATTTTTAAAAGCTTGCCGGCGCATTTATGAGGATCGCGGATTGGTATACGCGCTTGTTTCCAAAATACCGACGCAGCATCAATCGCTACCCTACAAGACATCTGCCGGTCATATGACTTGTCATCTGACTGGGAGATCTGCAGCCTTTTGGCATCATATTTTACGTTAGAATTGAAGGAATTTCTGAAAAATCTGACCAGTTCTCTTTTGTACTTGTAATTTTGCATCCCTTTTCATCATATGACCTTGATTGATGTTAACTTAAGGTCTCTGTTTTACTGCCTTAAAATTGTAGGGCCATGTTTACAGCGTTCTTTATGTGTATTGGTTTTTATTTGAGTGTATTGAGAATCGGTCAGTCCAAAATATCCTTTTCTTGTAGGGTAGCTTTGCACTTTCTTTTGAGTTTAGAAACCTGTCTGTTTGACGGTAATTTGGCTCCTAAAATTTGGCGTGATACATGTCCAATCAAAGCAATTTTCCGTTGTTGCTCATCAGTTTTGCGTGTTTCAACTGACGAAACGATTAGATGATTCGTTTGTAAAACTCGAAATTAGCACGTAAATGAGTAAGTTTGGCACAAAATCTTGAAGCATTGTAATTCATATGATAACGGTTTCCTTCAAGCACAGGGTCGTTATATGTTTTTTATATAAGCACGGGGTTGCCATGTGTCATAAGGGTAAATTATTTCTAAATATTTTCTATATAGCAACAAAACAAAATCAACTTCAATAAGATTTCCTTTGATCAACTTAACCACCTTTTGGGTCCATCAATTATTTCTCGGAGAGGTTTCAAGATTTTCAAGAAATTTTTTTGCGTAAAATATAAACTTTTTCATCCCGGCGCTCATCAATACTACCATTGCTAAAAATTTTCTAACATATTGCGGCCACTCGAATGTATACGGATGTAATTATTTTTAAGAGATATAAGTATATACCTAGTCGAATAAGGTCAAGTCTTAAAACGGAAAATGGGAAGAAATTAAAGAAGAGCC